GTACTTATTGCATGAAGTTCCCGATATTTTTGAACAATCTTTCATGATGGTGATTTGACAAGAAAAGAGATCTACTGTTCCTGGTCAGCCTTTGATAGACTTGAAATCAAGTCTGTAATGAGTGGTTTTAATCGCGTCCGCCGCGCGCGACTGCCAAGCTCTGTGCCGGGGGGCGAATATTTTATTTACACAACTATCTGGGGTACCCATTTTTCAGGCGACTTGAATCACGGTTATAGGATTGTAGAGCGCCGCGTAGCGGCGCTCTACAATCCTGTAACCTTTTACCTACGCGCGCGCGTATACTCTCTCCACATGTTTGAAAGTATATAATTTATGAATTGCAGGGATTTTTCGAGCACCGCCGTTGCCTAGTGGTTAGGCATGCTGGCTAATGATCGGAGGTCTCGAGTTCGATTCCTCGCTCTGCCAACAAAGATTTTGCTCTTTTTTTCAACAATTTAAAGTTGAATCTTAAAAACGTTATTTTTCAGTCGGATACTACTTGTATAGCAGCAATTTCCTTTTTCTTTTCCTGATCTGAGGCTCTGGAGGATTTTTTAAAAAGGGAAATAAAGTCCGAAATCCGTACCAAGTTGAAAAATAGTAGCCTCCACTCAAGCCTGGTTATAAAAACCAAGCCCCATAGGAAAGCGCACAAAGTACCCCAGATAGTTGTGTAAAAAAAATATCGCTGCCGGGGGTACGACGTACCGCATGCTAGTAGCGGGGACGCTACGTACATTTTCGACCCCATGCGTGTGCTCTGTGCATGCTACGTACATTTTCGACCCCATGCGTGTGCTCTATGCAGTACAGACTTGAATAACTCGTTGTCAGTTTGTGCATAGGCTACCAAAATTGGACGGAGCAGTCTGATTGGTTAAGAATCAAGAAAATATGAATATTCAACAGGCATCTCTTAGCCGATGCGTTTTGGCTTGCACGACGACACACACAAGTTTACATACACACCTGATTATCGCGGCATGTTAGTGTAGTCTTCACAAAACATTCTCAATCGCTTACATCAAATTTCTTCGGATTTCCTATCGCCCACCGTTAAAATGGAGGTGTTGGAAGCTAGCACCGAAAGGTATAGAGGTTCCATTGACCATGGGTTGCAAAAACTGGGGATTTTCAGTGCTCTGAAACCCCAACAAACTGAGGCAATGAATCTACCCACCGGGTACGGGAAATCCCTGATATACCAGCTAGCCCCTTTCTGTATCGACTTCATAAAGGGTCTGAGAACTTTTTTTTATTTTTACTTGCACAAAATTGTCTTGAAACATGACATTAATCATTATGGTCACAATTACAAATGTAAAAATAGAGAAACCGCGAACGAGTTCGTTTTCAGGGTGATTAGTTAAACTTCAACAAACCACATGGGCCAAAAGGAGCTTACGTTTACAGTCGGTGCGCACTTCATTTTTTGAAGGGGATTTACAATTATTCGTAACAGTTTCAACTTCCATAATTACTTAAATATGACTCCTTTTTATTCAAAGACAGTTGCAAAAGTACTAATAATATCTACAATGTTATACTCTTTTTTACTGTAATTTTAAAAACCGGACTGCCAAATCAAATGGAAACTTCAAATTATCGTGTAATAATTACCCCTATATTTATAATGGATGTTTCTTCGTAAGCCAGATGGGCTACCATTGGCCCTCGCTATGGAAACGTCATGCATATGCATTGCAGTGGCTGCATATATGAATATTCGCTTGAAAACGTCGTCAAGTCGTTAGACACAGACTGACCATGCCGCGCGGTAGTACATGACTTTTGCATGAATGGTTGTAGCGCTCACGTTGCATGAACGGCGGTGGTATGCGGATTCTGGCGCTGATGACGGACATAAACCACTATAGTCTAACGACTTGTCATCAAGTCTACCTTTGATCAAGTGTGGTACTACTCCCCAATCCATTGAGCATGATGTATGCGAGTCATTCAGCCGGGACGTTTTTAATTCAGCCGGACAATATTTTGGCACAATCTTACCCACACAATCATTGGGGCAGTGACAAAGTCAATTGAACCTTTGACCACCAACGTCAATGCACGTCAATGCCATATGTCTATACAGTGGATAGCTTTTTATACTGCTTGTTACAGTTTGGACTTTAGCTTACCAGTAAACCTCGTTCCCAAGTTGTTGATTTTCTTCAGGCTGTGTCGAGATCGGTCGTGTCGGTCTGAAACAAGCGATAGTTCTATTCACTGTTAATCTAAACCGAAACAAGTCCTGTGTGAAATATAAAGTTGTACCAGGTCGATATCGATTATATGCAAGCTTGACCAACGTCGTTCTCATGGTTTCGAGCAATACACGTGCTCTCCCGCCCTGTGCATGACTAGATCGTTGCATAGTAACAAATCTTGGTTGTAGGTGCTGAATAGTCTGTACCTTGACACACATACTGCAAGCCGATGTTGGATTCTAGACCGAAGCAATTCGGTGTGACACAGGGTCGAAAAGTAGCTTTTCTTCAAAATCTCAATATACAGTACACCCATCCATTCTACTCTTTAAAATGTTGAAAAGTAAAAAAAAAGAAAGTATTTTTTAGGAGGATTGGGGCATAATATATATTTACATTTGACATGATGGTAATACATGTCGAAAATCAAATTCACGAGCACACGATCAAAAAAACAATACTGTACTTTTATTTGCGGTCACGAATCAATATCAGAAGCTATATGTCTGAATGTACAATAGCCTTGATATTGGATTTGGATATTGCGTGTAGTACGCGCTCAAATAATAATACACACACGCGCGCGCTGGTAACATGGTCAATGTACACGATTCACCATGACGGTGCACCATGTCATTTTGGCCGATATTTTTACAAAATACAGATTGTGTTCGACGTGAAAGCCGTATTAGGATACACAAACAACGTATCATCTTCTTCATCAATCCCTCATTTGGACGAAAAATCCATCCAAACCATAGTGTCACCACGGTTCACCACTGTAAATTATATAAGAAGCAGAGTCACTCAATTCCTTTATAGTTTGGTTTGGATGGATCACCGATGGATTTGTCGGCAAATTAACGGAATGAGTGAATACAAACAAATTGACAAGGATTGTATATTGTTTGTGTATCATGATGAGCCTTTCAAGTTAAACACAAACTGTATTTTGTACAGTTGTTGGCCAAAATGGCATGGTGAACCGTCATGGCGAACCGTTACGATGCACGCAACAATAAAGTTGTGATTTTAAAGAATTGGAACATTTGTATTTTTAATTTCCATTTTTGTATTACTATCAATCATTATTAGCTGGCCTAAATATGTGTTTTTTCATTCAACCTTCGGCCGCCATTTCATATTTTGGATACAAAACTCAAGAAAACAGCTCCCAAAACGGCATGTCATGCATATTTTGAAAAATGAAAAAATTCAGACAATCCTGGCCAAATCTCGCTGGGCCCCCAACCCCCAGCCCCCGCTCAATGTTGTCTCCCATTGCGCGGTGTGTGCTCCATCCGCTGGAGAGAACATTGACCGGGGGAGCGGGGGAGTTGGTGACCGTTGGAGGCTAAGGTTATTTCCACGGTGTCCCAACCATTTTGGCCGGGATTGTAGCTACCATTTATGGTGCAACTGTTGAGAAAGCTGTTTTTAAAACTGAACCTGGGAACGAGGTTGAAGCGAATGGTAGATGTCACATGCATTTCAAAGGTCGATTTCGACGCACACGGCGACTATTGACTCCTAATAATAATGTAGAGATCCCTCGGGACGGGGTGGTTGGGTGATGAGGTAGTACTAGTGTGGGTTGTAACTGACTGGTGAAGGGCTCTGGGTCTGGCTAAATGGGTGATTGGGAGGGCAACACGGGCACGCAGGTCCTAGTGAACAGGTGACGCTTTGAGAGTAGTTGGCTTCCTTGCCTCAATGACTGCCGATTTATTCTTGCCAACCTGCCAGCCCAGCTGCCAATTCTCACTGTGTGAGAATTCGGCAGTGTGGTAAAAAATACAAAGGATACAAATTACAAAAAGCACGCGCATGTCAGTGTTATACAGGTATAAAATTACAATAAACGTGTACATGTAGATCTATTTCTCCAAATTAAATAAACAATCTTCGCATGAAATAAGAATTACCTCAGGCAATGCTGAACATAAAGGAGCCGAGGCTCACATTTACACATGCTGGCCAGGCACATTCATACACACTATCAACCACTTTCATACACACCAGTCCTCAATGAACAGGAAGAGCCATTATTTACTTGTGTGTTATTATTCCCTAAATGTAAACCTTAGATAATCATAGTACATGTACTGGAATCTGACAAGGCGCAATAAGACCCATGCTAAATTATACATGAACATAAATACGTACGTAACGTTATACACAATTACATGGGAATATCACGCGTGCGCGCACCACGCTGTCACATTTTGCACGTGAACGCGTGTATGCCTATACAGTACTACGCGCACCACACGCACAATGTTCGCTAAACTCTCCACAACGAGCTCACACTTTAGAGCCCCAAACCTACATTTATATCTTATCAAAACTTTACTTTAATGCCTCCAGTATTATCTATGAACACTAGCTGACAAATCCTAATGCAATATTGGGTAGCGTGCAGTTTGCAAACAAATGATAGGCCTATTTCAATTCAAAAACGAGCTTCAAAGGTTGACAACGTACATTGTACCTGTGTAAGAATTCGGCAGTGTGGTGCCGGTGTAGCGTGAATTTACGTTTCTATGAAAATCGGACTCATTGGTAATACTGCGCATGCGTAAGTATGATAATTAGGAAAGTGACCGGTCACGTGAGAGGGATTAACCAATAAAAGGGAAAAGGGGTCCGATTTTCATAGGAGTCGGATTTTCATGTGACACCGGTCAAGGGTTACGCAAGGCACAGGTCACGTACATAATAAGGCTTATCTACATGTACAAATGTACATGTAAGCACTACGTGCATATCATACGCACACTCTACAATAATATCACGTCGCGAGTTTTCGGGACGTATTCCTGTCAAATATTGGCCTATTACGTCTGTTTCTATATTGTTGGTCTCGGAAAAAGAGATTCTGAAAATGGATCTGTTCATGCTGGGCTTGACCTTCAGTATCATGTGTAACCTTGGTAAGGAAAACCACACTTTGGAGTTCTTCATAGCCCAAGATGCGAATTAGATGTGATTTAATGCATATCCGCGTCAGCCTCTAATTCTCTGTGGTGTGGTCAATATTTCATCGAATTTTTATTATTTGAAACTTTAACCTGATTTTCGACACAGGTGAATCGGCCGATAACGCAACAGACACCCCGGGCTATTTGGACGGATGCTTCGGTGAGTTAACCAGATATGTTTTCAACACAGATCGATTCTCTTACTTTTAACAGATTCCAGACAATGAATCAAGTGAGTTTTGGAACGATTTCCCTCCAATTAACCATAAGAAATATTGCAAAAAAAGTTCGTCATTAAAATTTCCGTTTGCCACAATACGAGAAGGCATGATGTTGGCTAACCATACGGATTATTCCATAAATTAGGGTGCCAACTTGTGACATTTTGACCAAATTTGGAAAAAATTGATTGACAGAGGATTAATAATTATTTTCAGTATAACTTAAAGATATTGGCATTCCTCATATTGAAGCCAACATCAGACATCATTTACTTCAGGAATGCCAAAGTACCATGTCAAAACCCATTCACGGTTTCACGTGTAAAGGGGACATCGGATTAATTTTCTGCTTATGTGTGTGATAATTCCTCCTCAATGTGGTGCGTTTATTATCTTACCCAGGATAACACGTCAATGTTTATTGTGACAATAACTTGCTTAGACTAAAAATAACAATTCCGTGCATGATTGCGTATTGGGGACACCATTTGGTGTCCCATTTACACGTGAAACCTAGTAAATGGCCCCAAATATAAAGGTTACATACAAGCAAGCAGAGTAGACAGTGTTTACACTGAGTATACATTGTTTATTCGTCGGTGACGCGAAGGGCAAAAACGCAAATTCCATCTAACGAATAGTATAAAAAATAATGTCACACTTATCAAATGGAACATGTAATTAATGGTGATGCATTTGGATATGCCAGTGAACCCAATAATCTTTTTACTTCTCAGAAACATTACACACACATTTCCCATATAAAAGGGACACCAAAAAAGCGGGTCTCGTTTACACATTGAAATACACTTCGGCTAACGCACTGTGAATCTCGCTCAACTAGGGCAATTCCAACTTTATGAAAGGCAGTGTAATGTCCGTAACAGAGCCAATTAACCATGATATCTAATTAATGGTTCAGAGAAATGATCCAAAACTCCTAGTCTGTAATCTCCTTGAGCACTACTCGATAATGGATTTTTTTATGGTTTTCATAGGATGGAATTTTGCGTCGTGGTGATGTAAATCAAACTAGGTTTTGGCCTTCACCGACGTATAAACACTGTAGGTAACACACTGAGTATACGGTGTTTATACGTCGGTGAAGGGCAAAACCTAGTTTGATTTTTAGGTTTATTCAGTGAGCTCTTAAAATATCTTTTACGGACATTACATAACGCTGACAATTCCCTTTTGTAAAATTATCTAAATATGCCTTATATGTCATTCTAAAGCAGTATTAAGTTGCTTTAAAATAAACACATTGGAGTGCAATAATTGTCCATACACATGTGAACGTGGTAGTATTTGAAAAATTTGAATAATAGTAGACTACATAAAAATATAATCTCCGTTATGTCCAAAAATGTTTTGTATCATCGATAGGATAGCGTTTTTGGCAAATGTTTACAAAACATACTGTCCTTTTATCACGTGTTGTGCCTTCTCTTTACAGTTGTTGAAATTATTATTATTTTATAGGCAGCGCCATCGACGATTTCATACTAGATGGTTTCCCCGCAAGAAAAAAGGAGGGACAACTGCTCGTGTGTTACAAAAGTGACTCCATTGTATACTATCAACAATGGGGTGCAGTGTGTGACAACAACTGGGACGACAATGATGCCAAGGTCAATGCCAAGATTCTTTGGTTTTATTTTTGTGCCGGATTCAATCACGCGTGTATCTACTCTGGCTGTCTGGATGCCTTTCGTGCATTCTTTAGCATGTTTTAGAAATCTTTTTTTTATGAACTACCGGTGGATCCAGAACAAACTTGTCGGGCTGGGGAAGGCGGTGTGGAACAAGACTGACCGGCCGCTTGTTTCAACTTCAAATCCGGTGCACGAAGGGGGGAACCTTATACCTCGCTGACGCTCGGGCGCTCTTTTCCCCTTTTTCTTTCTCTCTTAAAACATTGCACGAATCCGAGGGAAAGAGACAGCAGCGTATCCAGCTTTCAATGTCAGGGGGGGGGGGGGCAACCGCACATCCGCGTCTAAATGTAGACATGTTTTTTTTATCCGGAAACTTGCCCTCCGTAAAATCAAAAAGCGGGGGGGGGGGGGGGGGCGCTCTTCAAAACTGACCATTATTATGTATACTATATTATTATATGGACAATTTCACGGCGCAGTGTAATGGTTGTTGAGCGGGTTTTCTTCGGTGGGATTGATGTCAGAAGAACTCTATAAACACTTGAAATCATTGTTGAAAAAAAACAATTGTCAAAAAATACCCCAGAAGGGGGCAAAGTGCCCCCTGCCACCCCCCCCCCCCCCACCCCCACTGGATACGCCACTGGAAAGGGAGGAGTAACATTGATTTATAAACATCAGTCGTTGTCGTTCGTTTTCTGGATTCGTTATTATTAATAACAATATGACACTAATTTGAGAAAATCAAACCGTTGCGCCCCCCCCCTTCCCTCACCTACATGTAGTTTGGCCAGTCTTTATTAACCCCTCCCCCATTCGCCCCGGTTCTTCCCCTCTGCATTCCGTGTAAGTTTAATGGCACTAGTCATTGTCTGCATGAGCGGTAAATTGTCAGTTGGTTTCTGGAAGGCTAGACAGATCTCTTCACAAACAATTGCAACAAAGACAGATGTTATCTTCACTATGTTGTAGTGATTGAGATATTCTCGAATTCATAACAACAGGTTGCCTGTCGTCAGCTAGGCGTCAGTGGGCCAGCCAAAGCGGTACGCGATGCAGGATCCAAATACATGTCAAGCAATGGAGCCCTTGCTGACAGGATCCTAGGGAATTTCCGATGTACGGGGAACGAATCCAGGCTGTTAGACTGCCCACATGATACCAGTTGCGGTAGCATAAGAACAGCAGCTGGTGCTGTATGTGGTCAAACATATATACCTCCAGACAGTAAGTCACTCCTCTAAGTGCGACGTGTTTTACATTACAGACAACGAATGACTTCAAAGTTGGATTCAGTGTTGACATCTACAACCTTTATTCAGTTTAAACATGTGCTCGTTATAAGATTCGATTTTTTTTCTCCTAACAAAATTTCAATTTTCAATGTAAATTAAAAAAAAAAATCATACTTTATCGATGTTGAGCATTTGCAATTCAGAGAAAAAGGACTCTTTGTGGATAAAAGACATATGCATAAAATTATCACCAGCCGCAATAATGTAAAACATAATTTGAAAGGAAATTATTCCTTAACCAAACATGGCAGGACGTTTTTGTCGTTGGATGTTTTTATTCAAGTAGTGCATAATTTTTGAATTGCTAGAAAAGAGCAATTCCTGTGTAAAACAGTTAGAACAGTATATAAGAAGGTATCATGGGCGTCGCAAGGGGGCAATGGGGGGGGGGGGGCTGGCTGGAAAAGCAAACAAATAAAAATGGGGAAAATGAGGTGCGAAGTCATATTGCTGTTAATTTAAGGATCATTTAACAACATGGGCGTCCGCATGGGTGTCAGTGGGCAAAAGTCCCCCCACACAACCTCGACAAAAATGATAAAATGAGAATGCTAGAAAAGTACAAGGATTTTTAGAGCTTTACCCCCCCCCCTAGAAAAATCCTGGCGACTCCCTTGGAAAATATGCATGTTAATGTTCCACTAGGCGGGTGGTTGGCCAATCGGGGTCCGCCCGACAGTCCGAAGGTGCGATCGTCCGAAGCAGCGGCGGTGGAACGCTTTTCAAACTGGGGAGCATAACCAAAAAGGGGCACTTGCTGAGAACAAAGGCACCTTCCAGCTATGGTTAAAATAAGAGCATTTTGACATAAGTGTGCGACGTTGCAACATTTTAGTACACGAGAATAAAGGAAGTACCCCACTTCTATGCCTATGTAAGCGTGAGTGTGCGGGCGACTACAAATTCGTATTCTTGTGGAGACACACACAATAGGGAACAAAACATTGTAAAGTTCTCCACAGGGCAATTTCTATAGATGAATAGGTCTCCACAAGGTTTTTACGAAATAGATATATGGGTTTTACTCAAAAACTAGGAATTTCCAAGGTGGGTTGATCAGGTACTCAAAACCTAGGAATTTCCAAGGTGGGTTGATCAGGCGCGGTTCTAGAACCAATATGTTTGGGGGGCTAGCAAGGTGGATCCAGATTTTTTTTCAGGGAGGCGTGCTGAAATGTAGACCGGTTATTTCTTCCAGACACTTAGGCCTCCGAAAATCAATCGGGGGGGGGGGGGGGGGGGGGGCTCATGCCATATTTTCAATGGGGAGCGCTAATACAATCCTAAAATCATTCACACTATATTAACTAATGCACCCTTTTTGTCACGACTATTTTTTAGGGGGAGACCATTCGCATGTACATCACAATCCTTCTTTTTGCTAATGCATTTTTTTTTTTTACGGAATTTATTTTGGGGGTTAGGGTTAGCCTAAAGCCCCCCTGGATCCCCGTAGAACCGCGCCTGGGGTTGATCCGTCGCAAATGGAAAAGTTTTAGAAAAGGGATATCAAGTCCAAATTTCAGCCACGGAAACTAATTCTTGTTAAAATAAGAGCATTTTGAAACTTCACTTTCAAAATTGAACACTTTACTACACGAGAACAAAGAAATGTCTCCACAAGGATACAAATTTTAGAATGGGTGTGTGTGTGTATGTGAAGCAGTTGTGAAGCAGTTTTTGCGTTGCTGTCGTAAAACTAATGTCAGTTTTGCTTCTGCCGTCTCGACGTCATTCCTCGTCAGCGCCATCCACTCCTCCTTGTTAGAAGGCGCATAGCTGCTCCACGCCTTGGCAGTGTTGTGTGGACGCTTGCCTACCGTCTTCAGGTCGTTGTCGAGAACGATTGCTAGTGTGGTACGAGGGCGTCCTCACCAACCTTCCATGCCTGCTTCTGACAATTTCGTGTCTTTAAATCAATATTTTGAACATATTCACCATTTTCCTTTTGCCAAAGCGTAAATGCTCATGTCGATTTTCCAAGAGGTTAACTGGAAACAACAAAATTAGTTTACGTTTCCTTGTTTTTTTTTGTCAGACAATGGAAACAATGGAAACAATGGAAACAACGATGACACTTCGCCAGGCAATGACAACACAACGATGATTGTAATCTTGGTTATCGGGACAGTTGTTGCGGTCATTGGAGGAATTTTCGGCACGTGGTGGAGGTACCAGCGTTGTCAACGTCACCATGACCAGGACAGACGTATACGTGACCTAGAAAGAGCAGCACGAACACATAGGAGGCAGCCACAGGCAAGAAACCAGGCTTCAAACCCCCCTGACAGTGACTACCGGCATGTTACCCCACCCCCTGCGACTGCCCCTCCCCCTGCCACTGCTCCACCACTGCTGCCCGGGTACAACGGCACAATGGACGATGCTGCGACGCTTTCTGGTCCCCCGCCATCGTATAATGACGTCGTCGCTTCTACTCCTAACTGATTAAACCCTTTTCCATTTTCTACAACACGATTGGAATAGTTTTGTTTTATACAACTTTGTTGGCGAACGAATTATAAAGTCGTTTATTGGCGGATACGTGATTTTCCAAGGAGGGCTGGCCTTATGGGTGTAGTATAGTCTATGTAATAGACCACGGCGATCGAATGCCGCGGTCTATGATTATGTGAGCAGATTCACTGATTAATTATGCAAGACAATCGCTTCTTGACCTCTACACAGGTATTCGGCCATTCACCCGTTGTGCGTCATACAAAACCTGTGTCACGTGCTCTGTATCATGTTACGCGCGTATTCGCCCGGCTTTTGTTGTATTACAAAACACTGCATTGACCAATCCAACCATTTATTCCTGATTTGGGAATGAAATGACGTCACGATTTAGCAAAGTCGACTCTGATTGGCTGGCGCGCGGCTTGCATGCACCTGCATGTCTAAACATATCAGACGTTATACAGGAGAGTTACGGTTGAAACTCAGACTATAGGTGTAGTATTGAAATCCATGACATTTCAAGGAGGGATGGATTCCGCATTAAAACCCAAAGGCTTGAAGTTATAAAATAAATAAAGAGATGCTATTAACCCTAAAAGGGCCGGGGCGGAATCCGCCCCCCCCCCCCTCAACATTTTCCGCGATAGCCTCTAATTTTCAATTTTTTTTCGCAACCCGATCTGTTATAACTTTTTAGCCTCGATCTTTTGATACCAAAAACATAAAAATCGGACCACGGGTTGCCGCGTAGCGAAAACTTTTCCAGCGCTGCGCGCCGTGAAAACTGCATTTTCCAATATAACCTACGTCCGTACACAGAGCAGAGTTGCCATTCATACATATGAATAATTAATTAGCCATAATTTCAAACCTATTAACCTATAGTCATAAAATCTCTTGGGTATGTTTAGGAAGAGTTGTTCTATGCATGTACTGAGTTTCGAAATTTTTCGTCACTCGATGGCCGAGATCTTAGGGGGGCGGAATCCGCCCCCCCCCCCCCGGCTGAGAGATGGTCAAAATAACCCGGCCATTTTAGGTGTAACTGCAGCCTCTGCAAAACCTATAGGGCGCCCTCTTTTGACAACTAGGATTGTACTTGTTGAAAGCACATTGTTTTTAGTAGCCATCTTTATTGCATGTTGTAAATTGTACTCCAGAGCATCTAAAAGGACCACCAGAACCTGATTGTTTTTAAGGCCTAAATAACCCCCAGAAGAAGCAAGGAGGTATTGTTTAATGATTACTCATATCATTGAGGACTTTCTAGAGTCTTTTGAAGCTTTAGTTTATTCAGTTTTTATAAGAAAGGCACTGGACTCTCATTTATATGTTATTTGCATGTAAACATAGTGTAATTCCATGATATTGAACTTTGTATTTGGATTTGTTCTTGTAATTGCAGTTTTCACGGAGCTTTGCCAGTTCATGTTTCGTATTCAATGGATGGAACTGTAGCCTAGATCACAGAGCCTCAATTATTGGAGATTATTTGAACTTGAGCCTGTGTGCTGATCCCTGATCCTTGAATCTTTGTTCTGTACTGGAGCTGTTACCATACTGAAGTGAGAGCTTTACAATACATTCTTGAAACAGCAAGCTTCTGTCGAGACCCTTGTTTATTTGTCTTCATCTTATTTTGCGAGACACTGCGCCCCCTAGTGGCACACCTTAACATAGGCCACCGACTTCATGCGAATCGATAAGGCTGCCGCTACAGTGAAAACTCCGAACATAACTTGAAATCATCAAGAACTACGAGATTAGCCTGTCCTCATTTGGAACCTGGAATGCTGAAACATCTTGAGACGAGACTTTCTACCAACTCACCTTAAATCCATCCTGGCTTTGATGTGTTTCCTGCGAACAACTGGAACTACAGTACATGTACCTGTCATTCCTGTGTACTACGAGTGCGACAGTTTTGCGAAGTTTCCTCTCACCGCTGCCCCCCCCCCCCCCTGTCATCATCACTGCGAGAACAGCCAAGCAAGAGGACATGCACCGACACCGTAGGAGAGAGGGATCATTCTCTGAAGCTGTATTCTGAACTGCTGGTCCCAAGAACTTATTTGAAATAACTTTTGTTACACAATCAAGTTAATTTGTGTGCCTTGCGTATAATTATTGTAGATTTGCATCACAAATTGTAAGCATAAAATGGGAATGTTTCCATCAGCAGTAATTGTGTAACATACAGACCTGCATATTACAGTATTGCGGAATTACATTTGCTCATCATTGTATCATAACGTGTATTGTACATGCGTTTCATACATAACCTTTTGTATATGTAAACAAAAATGGGTTTGTGTATACTGTACAACATACATGTATCCTGTAGGTTTAACCACTGTTTATATGATGGTGCATACTATTAATATGAATGTACATTGATGCGCACACTTTCACTTGGAGGTTTATCCCAATACAGTAAATAGGTTTTGGCCATGTCACGCACAGACACAGACGAAAGCAATGCTGCGACTGCCCAGGCTGAGGGAGGTGAGGATGGAAATGGAGTCGAAACCGCCCGAGAAAGACAACTCACAGAGAAAGGTTTACTGTGGCAAGTCAGCCTACATGAGCGGAGGTTCCGAAGTTCCCTGTCAGCCTGGCATAGATGTGCCAACCAATTGGAGGAATTATTATCAGATTCAAATCAAGTCTCTGCAATTAAAGCTGGACGAGATGCCATGCATAAAGCCATGCAACAGCTGCAGGAGTCAAGTCACCAACTTGAAGAATTGCAGGCAGCAGAATATTGGGTCAGTGAACTTTGTAGAAAATATGAGAGGACTGAAGAGGAAAACCATCATCTTGTGAAAAGAGCTTGCGAACGCATCATCGACCTTGAAGATAATCTGCGTGAGATGAGATCCAGAATGTCTGAAAAAAGTCATTATTCAAGACGATCTGCAAGCTCGAAAGGTTCCGGTGCTATTGACAGAGCTGCTGTTGCTGCTGAAGCTGCAGCCCTTAAAGCCAAGCTGAAATTCGCTGACATAGAGGCAAACAAACGAGCAGAATTGGAACTTAAGAAAGCAGAACTCGAGCAACTAAACACAATGAAAGACTTGCACGCTGCAGAGGCAACGTTAGAGGCAATTGATCAGGCACAAGACCAACACTTGTTTGGCTCCCAAGGGAGTCTGGCTGGTATACCTGCACAAGAGAAAAGTGCCCTTGTTGCAGATTACTTGATGAGACAAGGGGAGCTTGATACTTCAAAGGGTGTTACTAACGACACAACACCTGCATTTGGCATGAAGCCACCGGCAGATACGAACAACCATGCGAACAATTCTCCAGTAGAGATGTCTCACACTCCAGCATCTAAGGCAAATGTTGAGCAGCCAATGACAGGATCGATGTGCCACCCTCAGACCATGCAAAATTCAGACAAGTGTGGAGCCACTAAACCTGCCAGCAACTCTCAAAGCACTACTGAGAGCACGAACAATTCACCACCTCTTGCAGTCACATCTACAACCCAAGTACATACTACTGAAGCGGTTTCAAACGAACCACAACAGCAGCTGATAGACTTTACCAAGTCCCTTGCGAAGCAACTGAGCTTAAGTCGGCTGCCCCCTCCAGAACCAGGAGTGTTTGTGGGTGATGCACTTAAATATCCCAACTGGAAAAGTGCATTTGAAACACTGATTGAACAACGTGGGATTCCCTCATCAGAGCAACTCCATTACTTGAAGAAATACACTGGAGGTGCAGCAAGAGAGGCAATCGAAGGCTACTTCTATCTCACTACCGACGATGCATACAACCAAGCAAAGAAACTACTAGAGAAACGCTATGGAGATCCATTTGTCGTCGCAAATGCCTTCAGGAACAAACTGGATTCTTGGCCAAAGATCCCCACTCGTGATGGAATAGCCCTGCGAAACTTTGCGGATTTTCTGAGACAGTGTGAAACCGCCACAAGGAGCATTGGCACCTTAGATGTTCTCAACGATGAACGCGAAAACAGAAAGATGCTCTCAAAACTCCCTGACTGGTTAATCAGCCGATGGGCCAGAAAGGTTGCGGATAAGAAGGAAAAGGATGGAAAGTTTCCTACCTTCTGTGAGTTTGCTAAGTTCATTGAAAAGGAAGCAAACGTTGCGTGCGATCCCGTGACCACCCTGCAAGGCCTGAAGGGAGATGACAAACGATACAAGTCTTCAGAATCTCACAGCAAGCCTGACAAGAATGTCGGAAAACGAACTCCAGGAGCTAATTCCTTCCCTACCAGAGTAGATGAGTCTCCATCCAAGGGACAGAAGGGAAACCACATGCAGCAATGGAAGGAGTGTCTTCTATGCAACAAGACCCACTACCTAGACTCCTGTCCTATCTTCCTGTCGAAGGAAATAGGCGAGCGTAAGGAGTTTGCAAAGAAGAAAGGCTTATGCTTTGGATGCTTGTCAAAGGGGCACATGTCAAAGTACTGCCGACGAAGACTGACCTGCAGAACCTGCTCTAAACACCACCCTACATCCCTGCATGGCGACACCAAGGAAGAGGTCAAGATAAGTGTGAACTCAAGTGCAGAAGGAGCCCAACAAGAACATAAAGCAGTCAGCTCAAACACTCGAATAAGTCTCTTCAGCGGAGTTGAGGATTGCAGCCAGAGCTCAATGACTGTTCCCGTATGGATTTCCCATTGTGATCGACCAGGACATGAGCGACTAGTCTACGCATTACTGGATACACAATCTGATACCACATTTATCCTAAGAGACACATGCGATGCTCTTGGCCTGGATGGACCAAAGGTTCATCTTCTGCTTTCTACCATGACTGCAAAGGAGCAGAGGGTATCAAGCCGCAAGATTAATGGACTGCTCGTGAGAGGATACAACAGTGAGACCAAGATTCCACTACCGAGTACATACTGCAGAGAAGCCATCCCAGCTAATCGTGATCACATACCGACGGCAGACATGGCCAGAAAATGGCCTCACCTCGAAGGAATGGCAAATCACCTGATGCCTGCAACGGAATGCGAAATAGGTCTCCTGATTGGGTACAACTGCCCACGTGCTCTTGCGCCACGTGAAGTCATCCACCCAGCAGAAAGCGGCCCATACGGTCAACGAACAGACCTCGGATGGTCTATTGTTGGCATTGTCAACCCTCACTTTGGAGAAGACGAGGGAAATGACCCCATAGGAATCAGTCACAAGATAGTCACCTGCAAGGTGCACCCTTTGTCGGAAAATGATCAATCGACAAGTAAGCACGTGATCTTTTCTATCAGGAACAAGGTGAAGGAAATCACTCCAACTGAATTTTCACAGATGCTGGAGTTGGATTTCCCCGAGAAGAAACCAGACGATACCAACCTGTCACAGGAAGACATCCAGTTCTTGGACAAGATCAGAAATGGTATTCATCAACGAAATGATGGTCACTATGAAATGCCATTACCATTCCGTGGGTCTGAACCGGATCTCCTGAATAACAGATTGATGGCACTGCACCGCCTCGAACTTCTCAAGACTCGCTTCAAGAAGAATCCCACGTACCACTCGGACTACACCAACTTTCTACAGGACATCATTAGTAAGAACCATGCGGAGGAAGTGCCTGGCACCCATGTCAGCAAATCAAGTGGAGTGTGGTACATACCACATC